GAAAAAGTGCTAAAGTGAGCCCTTGGGTCATTTTTTCATTCACTTATCCATCAGTTGTTCATTACATGGGTGCCTTCAGTGTGCTGCAGGGGCTACAGAGACAGGCCAGTAGCAAAGCCCAACCTCGAGGAGCCCCTAGCCTTGTTGCACTGATAAGACACGTGCACAGGTAAGCAGCAGCATGCCGAGGGCAGTGGCCAGTGCCGTCAGAGGGGGCAGGCTGCAGGGATGGGCAGGATAGTAGGGGGAGGCACCTTCCGCTCTATAGGGTCATGAAGATTCCCTGAAAAAAAGATGACATTGCAGTGAGACCTTTAGAAGCTCGGTAGGTCGGAACATTGGAGATGGGTGGGGTCAAGGTCCAGTGTTAGGGGAGCATGAGCAGTGTTTCACAGATGAGAAGTAGAGGAAAAAAGGGTTTAGCACACAAGGTGCATGTTTGGGAGTGTGCAGTCTAACTGGAGAAACACAGGTTAGGCTGTATCATGAACGGCTTTGAATTCTAAGCTGAAATTCTATTTTACTCAATGAAGAGTTGATGAGGGTTTTTGACAGGACACATGCTTTAAGATGATTAACCTGGCAGCATCCATGACCTTGGGGAGAGAACTTTTGTGATGTGATGGGGCCATGGGCCACAATCCGGTGAGGTGAATAGTGACAAAGTGGTGAATAAATGTTGCTATGGAGACTAGGTGGCTGTGTCCAGCTGCAAAGAGGTAGTTATGGGTACCTTGGGGGAGAAGAGGACACAGGGTCAAAAGAAGAGTGTGTGAGTGACAGGAACAGAAATTCTTTCTATGCTTTTATTTCCTGGGATTTGGGCCAAGTCTTAAGGGATTAAAGAGGCCTTTAGTTATTCTTCATGTGTTCTTCTCTTGGACCAATGGCTTTGAGTGAAACAATCTTTCTGTCACTTTAAAAGGTTCTACTAAGCCCCCTTCAGTCACGTGCCTTCGGAAATTTCGGTTACATAACATTGCTCTGAATTGGAATTCTGCAGCCTCACGAGCTGGAGCCCCGGCTGTTCCTCCCCCACCTGGCATTTCAGTTTCTGTGGGTCAGGGTTAGCTTCTTTCTAACCATTGTTGCGGAACTCTTTAAATGTTTGGTCTCACAGGTTTTAAAAGCTGGCAGGCCAGGCTGCTCCCTGCAGGTTGTGAGACCAAAGCCTTCCAGAAAAGGAGCCAGTAAAATCCTAAGCATGTTAACAGAGTGTAACAGCTGCATGGGGCATCACCCCCGTGGGGCCGGGCTCCCCACTGCTGAGGCCAGCGACTGCCGGCCACTGTGGCCCGTAACCAGAAGGAGCCCTCATGCACTACATCGTGGCAGATTCGTAATTGTGGCGATGACAACAGATTAAATCGCTGGCTCACAGCACTGAGGACTGGGGTTTGTCAGGGTCACTCACTGTTCCCTTGCCTTCCCCAATTTTCCATAGTGAAGAGCAACTTTGGAGTCCACTGCTACAGTACAAATACTTGTTGAGAGCTCTCCAAGTTTTACTCTGTCTAGAAGTCAGTTTTCTTAGTAGCCCATGCCGAATGTCTTTTTGTTTCAGCATCCCTGAACTCATGATTCTGAAATACTGTAACCCCTCAGTATACATATGTATTTATCTATACCCTGCTTTTTATGATAGTGATTTAAGGCAGCTTGCACATACACATAAGATGTAGTGAATTTTTTAAAAATTAGGATATGGGCAAAAGGAGTATGTGAGTAGGAAAATTAGGCACAGCCAGGATAAAGGTTAGTTCACAAAGTTCCAACTGTAAATAAGATCCTCTTGAAGCAAATCGGTGTTTTTCTGAGTTTCCTAGTAGTCAAAGCAAAGAGAGAAATGTGAAAGGATAAGGTTCATATGTCTGTCAGATTCAAACAAACCATCAGCTCCAGAGAAGAAGAGTGAGTCTTTGAATGTCATGAACTTCTCCCATAAGTGCTTATAAAGGGGACACTGAGTGATAAAATGGGCAAGGCCCTCAGCTTCCCTACAATAGCATAGCCATTTTGTTGGCTTCTGCAGTGACCCTTGGGATAGGCTTGGTGGCAAGACCGTATCCAGGTCAAGGACTCCGCTGGAGGCCTGGGCAGGGTGTTTCATTGCAGCTCATCACTTCTCAAAGGGCACTTTCCTGAGGAACCTTGTGTCTGGGAGATGCTCTGTCACAAAAAATTGCCAAGGTCAAATGGGTCTAGCAAGAACTTTATGATACCAGCATATTCAAGGCTCTGAGGAGTCTTACAATTTAGAAATTGGCTCAGTGTGTCCCAAACTGATTTAATCACAGTTGTTTTAATTTAGACTTTTATGTTTTTGGTTTAAGATTGTAAAAAAAAAAAGTACTAGAGAATTCATATGAACACTTATAGGCTAGTCTAAGATTTTTCTCAGAAACAATTTGTAGGTCCTCTCAAAGACATTAACAAACTAATAACTGAAGCATAGAGTCTTACTCTGTCACATAAGGCTATATGAGTTTGAGGCTGGAAAACATTATCACTCATTCATAGAAATAAAAGTCAGAATACCCAGAGCTGTTTAATTTAAGAAAACATAACTTCCTAGTCAATTATCCAAGTAAACCAGTAAATTGTGTCAGTCACTGAGCTAACAGAGTGTTCTGTTTGATTTTTGACTAGAGGGATATCCTTTCAGCTTATGATGTCAGTGTGATGAAAAAGGACCAAAATGTTCCTACCACCAAGGCTGACGTTTCAGTGTCAGTTCAAGAAGTGTTTATTGAGTACTCTGTAGTTATAAAGCATTTTGCTAGCTTTTATGGGGGATACAGAAAGGGACAGGAAGCAAACAATCCCTTCCTTACCTTGTGAATCAAGGTCAAGATCCTCACCAATTTGGAGTCCATTACTGTGGTGTCAGGATTAATTTCACCTCGCTGTCTCTTCCTGTCAGCATGCATGCATTCATTCAGTGAACACTTGTCAGTGACAGCCTCTGTTCGTAGCACTGGGACAGTCTTCCGGGATGGTTGCTTTCCAGGGGACATGAGTGTTTCTCTTTTCCTTTGGCACTCTGGCATAATATGACCTCATATAATGGCACAGAAATCATTTCTTTATATCCTGAGACCTCAACATTTAGTTCCCCACATTGTGTGTGCCTCTTCTTGAAGTAATTAGTGAGAAGAGCAGATCCCCTGATAAACCACTCTTCCTGGGGCTGTGCTCTAAATGTTCTTGTTCCTTCCACCAGAGTGGCACCTACCTTTCCCCACCCTCTTCTGGTAGTGTACCTGTGAGTTCGTAGTATCACCAGATTAGTAATTTTTAAAGCTATTGACTATTACACAATATGAGTCTATAAGATGACTAAACACACTTAGAAGCTGTATTGTGTTTGTGATGGATACTTATTTTTTGATGGTGGGAGATTCTTTACAGCACTCATTTTTTTCCATTTATAAAAGAAATACATAATTGTAGTGAACAATTTGAAAAATATGGACAAGTATAAAAAAGTTAATCCATAATTCCTGCACCCATGGATCAACTCTATTAACAATTAACGTATTTTTGTACTTTCCTTAATTCAAAAACCACATTTAAAATATTTAATTTCGAAATTAATAAACAATAAAATTGCCTTTTATTTGTTGTGTAGTTCTATGAAGTTTAAGATATATAGATTCAACTAACCACCACCACAATCAAGATACAGGAAAGTTCTGTTTCCCCAGAACAAGCACCCCTTTGTAGTAGTCACACCTGCCCCAGCCTCTGGCCACTACCGATCTGCTCTCTGACATATAATTTTGTCTTTTTGAGAATGTCATATAAATGGAATCATAAGTTATAAAAGCTTATGAGAGTCACTTCCTTAACTTAATACCTTTGAGATTTTTCCAAGTTGTGTGTATGAGTAATTTGTTTCTTTTTGTTGTTGAGATAGTATTCCATTGTATAAACATACCATAGTTTGGTTGTCTGTCTATCTACTTATCAATTAAGAGGTTTTGTTTAACATTTGGATATGTCTGAAATACTGAAGTATGTTAAAATCGATGTGTGTATTTAATGTGTTGGGAGTTATTTCCCAAAAAAATTATTGTTGAATTGATAGTGCATCTTGGAATCAATACTATCTTAGAATCAAGGTATTGTTTGGTGAGGTGATGAGTGTGAGGGATCAGAGAGGGCTGTCTGGGTTATTAGGAGGAAAGGAGATGAGCAGTAAGGGAAAAGAGGAAGGAAGGCCCTGAGAGCTTTGCCTACCAGTGCCCAGAGCAGCCTCTGTGGCTTTGGGGAGGTTATGAGCAGAGGAGTGACCCAAGGAGGAAGTCTTTGTGAACAAAGTCAGTCTAATTGTTGAGTGTCGGTCTGTCTGCCATCATCAGTGCCAACGAGTCAGGAGACTGGGGAATGGCAGCAGCAGCCCTGCTGGTCCTGTCAGAAATAGAGGAAGAACTTGGGAAGAATCCAGTAGAGGCAGGGAGCACTGACTCAAGGGCCATGTGGGGAGCAAGGGGTTCTTACAGGACACCCCAACCTCCAGGCCTGGGGAGGGAAGGGCAGTAGGTGTGGAGAACAGAGGACAGACTGCAGTTCACCAGTAGATACGGGGTAGGAATGGGAGGTCTGGGTAGGGCATGTTACTTGGGACACTCTAAAGCAAGATGGGAATGTCCTGGGCTTCACAAATTCAGAGCGTGCACAGGGATACTGTGTGAAGACACACGGCACAGGATACACTTGATTACATGAGCTTGGAGGAAGTGGACTATTATTCTATAGAAACATACTGATTAGGGCTATTCCCAAGTAGAATTGTATTATGGCTTCTGTATGGCCTCTAGTTTTTTGCAAAACTTACTCTTGGGTCCTGTCCCCCATGTCACAAGTCAGGTGATTTGTTCTTGGCATAGCCCACTTTTGCAAGATAGGAGCAAGAACAGTAAGTCATCCTCATATAGGTCCTTGAAGGACAGGTTCCTCTCGGCCCTGGAAAGACAGGGAAGTGCAGGTAGGCTCTGATGACCGGAGAGTACTTTGCCGGAGGGGCTTGCCCTCCTGTCAGGTAGTCTTCTGGGGAGCCTGTTTCGTGGACGTTGTCTCACTTCCACCTGTGTACACCTACTCTAGCTGAGGATCAGGGAAATGTAGAGGAAGAGAAAGGCACTCAATGACAGTCTTGAGCCTTGTTTTCTTCCGCCATTTGTCTCTCCCCCATCTCATATTTTACTGAAGATCCCCTTGTCAGAAACATTGTAGAAGTGACTCTTCACTTTGCCTACCATTTGCATGTTTGCAAAATAACTGTTGTTCAAGCTGTAGTCTGTGAGGTATAGTTTCTGTTACTTGGGGCATTGCTAACTATATCTTCAATTTTTCCTAGGAAAGACTGTGTCTTCACCATTGACCCATCAACTGCCCGTGACCTTGATGACGCCCTCTCCTGCAAGCCACTCGCTGATGGTAGGGTGGAGCTTTCTGTGCCATTCTGGGTAGCAGGTGGTCTGCAGACCTGTGCAGTCAGCGGGCTGCCATGTCCTCCCCAGGCAGTGTAATATGCAGGGTTGGGTTTGCTTTGTTCCTGGATTTATCATAGGCCCCTGGGCCCCCTGTACAAGTATGTGACCTAAAGATTGTGTTCCTGTGGTGATTTGGTGAAGGTAAGAGTAAGAAATGCCTCTCCCTGGGACCCCTCTCAGGCCTCAGAAGAGGCAGCAGTAAGGACAGAATTAATTCCAGGCCTTGGCCCTCCCAGGAGTTCCAGTTTGGGTGTCATGATACAGAATAAAGCCCCTGAGCTCTGCTCACAAGAAGTTCTTTACCCAAACCTCACAGCATAGTGAGGTGACCCAAAGGTGTGCTCAGCTCGCGTGGCAGGAGCACCGTGCCGGAGCACTGCCCCTCGAGGCCTGAGCTGGAGAAGCCACTGCCCCCAGCAGGCCTTCACTGACCCGGCAGCTGTTCAGGACTCTGTAAACGTTCTTTGGGCCTGGAGCTAAGCAGGAGAAAGTAGGATTTGAGGCCAGTGGTCTTTGAATACTCCAGCAGGGAGGAGGGGAAAGTGTGTGGGGGTGAGCAGAGCCAACCTGAGCAGTCCTCTCTCTGATGCCCCTCAGATGTGCTGCTTACAGTCTTTAGCTCCTCCTTTTCCCTCTCTAGGGTGCTGTCTGAGTGGTTGCTTTGGCTTTAGTCTTTCTCACATACAGCTTTGGCACTAACATGGGCTTTGAGGGCTTGCCCATGATGGGTATCCACCCTTGTCATTTCAATCTGCTGCAAAGAGTTGATGGCCCGATGGCCCAGTGGCCCAGTCTTTTAAAACATTGCATAGGTGTTCGCATATGTCATTGACACAAAATTCCATAGGCTCACGGTGTAATCTCTTCTCTACTGTAGTAGGCAGTGAAGCTTAGTAGGTGAAAGGCTGAGAAACAGAAAACATTATTGCCTGAAAATACTTTTATGGTCTCGTTGTGGGAGTCTTCCTTGAAACTGTAGGCAAGATTGCTCACTATTTTCAACAAAAGAAAATTGAAAAGAAGGTAAAGCAAAAAGAGAGAGAAGTCCCCATGGAAATTTTAAGGAATTATATATTTTTCAAGTAAAACTTTGAGCAGCCTACTTGAAAAAGCAAATAGTGGCTTGGTTTCCTGTATTCCAAGCAGTGTCTGCCGAGTGCAAAGGCTTGGGCGCATTGCTCTCCATGTGAGCTTCCTCCCTGCATTTTCCTTCTCTCCAGGTTCACAGCTCTGCTGTGTTTGTAGTCTGATGTTTGAAAACACTTGCCTCAGTTTATTTTGTCCATGTTCATAGTTGTCAGTTGCAGAAGGATAGGTCGAGTAATATTACTGCATCTCGGCTGGCTGGGATGATGTTCCCCTTGCAGAGACCCCAGGGAGCAAGCTCATATCCTACCCCACTCACTCTGTACACTGTGTTTCATGCCTAGGGTGCCAGGTTACCAGCAGAGGTTTCATGTAGAGAAGTGTTAAAAGATAGGGCAGGAAAAGTAGATTGGGAACAAATTGTACATGTTTGTACATTTCCGACCAAAGGATGTTGTCAGATAACTGGAAACCAATTGTTTTCTATCTCTTGTTCAGGAAAAGCCCTCAAAATCAGGAAAGTAATTTAGCAGTACAAGATGAAGGAAAAGGCAGAGAAACATTGTAATTGTTTAGGGATATAGGTAATAAGAAGCTGGCCTGGCAGTGGTGGCTGTATTGTTGGGGGTAGGAAGGACAGATGTGAGGGAGGGGTAATAACAGAAGACGCAAAGGCATCTAATGTTGGAGTTGAGGGAAAAAGAGCCCAAGACAGGGCAAAAGTTTCAGCGTGGATGATGAGGAGATGAAATCCACAAGTTAGAGTCCAGAACGCAAGAGGATAAGCTGGTTGAGAGAAAACCTGTGTCTACGTGGGATTATCTGTCTGATGATATGCATTGACATAAGCTGCTGCAAATCATTCCCAGAGGAGGCAGGGTGCAAATAAGCTAAATACATGCAGTCTGTGTAACTATGTACTGGGAGAGCACTAAGAAAAGTAGACAGTGTACCAAAATGCAAAAAACGATTTTATTCAGATGATAGGATCATAAAGTTATTTTTCTCTTTTCTCTAGTTTGCAAATTTTTATAATGTGGTAATAAGTTTTATTGAAAAAAATTTGTCATAAAAAAAGTTACAGGTGCCAGAAATCACAGACTGCCCAGTAGCACACTGCACCAGGTGATCAGATGCCTTCTATCTGCTTGGTTATTCTTGCATTCCCAGAGGAGTAATTAACATCTGGTCATTTGGCAGAGCCGCAGAAAAAGGACATAGAAAAGGAGTCAGGGAAGGATCTGAAAGGCCTGAGTTGGTGAGTTAAGCGTTTTTATGGTGGCACTTCTGTAGTTGGCCTTTGTGACAGCAGTTTCTTCCAAGGCCATTTATCCAGAGGGATGAAAAGTGAAAATTGATTCCAGTTTGGGTTAGGGTGAGGTTGGCTAAGTTCAGGTTCTCTTAGTTACCAGTTCATGTCAGTTCTTGCTTAGAGGAAAAAATGTTTAATGTTTTAAAAAGCAAATAATGTTTTCTGGATATATTTACATAATCTATAACCTTTTTATTTAAAGAAAATATGAAAGTTCAACGTTCCTTTGGTCCCATTGAAATTATCTGAATGACTCTTCTGTGAAAATAAAACATGCCGACAAAGAAACTTATTTAGTCTTCAGTCTCCCTTCCAAGTTTAGATGTACCTCCAGGACTTGTTACCAGTATCTCCCATAGGTATGGGAGTTAGACATTACAGTCTTCAGGTACATTCTACAGAAACCCACCACACCTGTTCTCTAGTAGGTCATGATTAGGTTGGAAGGCTAAGGAGGGGGTGCCCCCTGCCTCAAGGACTCTCATCCTTGGAAGGGGGTCTACTAGTCATCCAGCCTGGTAATTCTCTGCCTCCTATAGCCTGTAAACAGACTTGAGTGGAACATTCCCATGAGCATTACTTAACCCACTAACTTTAACTGGTTTCTTTCACTTTTGCTCAAGAAAATATTTAATAATGCAAGTGAATAAGAGCAGTGTTATAATGATAGCCCAGAATCTAAAGACAGTAAAACACACACTCCAGTGCTTTATTAATGTAACAGATCACTTACAACACACCTCCCAGTTGACCTTGCCACTCGTGTGGGAATGCCACAGTTGTCACAGCACCCTGTTTTTCAAATTACTTCTACCGCATCCATTTGTTGCATATCCAGATTGCATTTTAACTCTACCTTATAGGCAGCCCATTCGACCTTTAGATTGTGTGACTACTAGGAAATCCTTCCTTGTAATGATCTGATTGATCTATGGCTGTCTTCCTGTAATTTCCCACCCACTGGTCCCATTTGTGCCTCTTGGGACCCCACAGAACAAGTCTTATCTCTCAAGTGATGACCTGTCATATACTAGATAACAGCTAACATGTATTTCTGAGTCACAGCCTCTCAGCTAAGCTTCCTATAATTCTCTATGTACCATAGTTTGAAGTTTGAGCCCATTTCCCATGTCATGGAATCATTTCTACCATCATGAGGTCTAAGGCACATGGCAGCCTGTATGTGGACCTCTCCCTGGCTGTCGGGGCACGGCATGGGACTCTCCCGGCCACTTTTGCCTTAACGTGCAGACCTGAGGCCAGAGTAATAGTCATCCATTCAGTTCAGTTAAACATGCCTTGTTGCTTTGCTTTAGTATCTGAGACAGGAAACTGTCAGCCAGACAAGTGACCTTTATTCAGACTTACAACAGATCCTACAAGAGATCAATGTTATCTGCTTCAGAAGCATCTTGTTTTTACAATGTTTTATTCTCTGATGAGAGCTCTGCCATTATACCCGGCAGGATTATCCTGACCAGGCCTGAGAAATGAAAGAATTAGGGCTAGGAAAACAGGGGGAATAGAAAATGACTGCTAATGGGTTTGGGGTTTCTTTCTGAAGAGATGAAAATATTCTGGAATTAGGTAGTTGCACAACTTTGTGAATATACTAAAAGCCACTGGGGAAAAATGAGTGAATGGATGAATGAATAAAAATAAACAAACAAATCCATTCATCCTCAGAGCTCTGTGAAGAGTTTACCTTAGTCTTAACCACAGCATAGCAGAAGTCTTGGTGGGATGCTTGGGCTGGATGCCCATAGGGACTGACACCCCTCTTGTTTGTCTCTCTTCCCTGCTGCTTTCATCTCTGAACCACAAAACTCCCACCCAAAGAGCACACCCCTCTGTCCAGCCACCTGCTTTTATTTTCCTTCCCTACAGAGCCAGCCACCTGACTCAAGAAAAGAAGGATTTGTCCTACTATCTGGAAATAAGAAAATGCTCAGATAAATGGGTATCGTCCAGCGTGAGGGGCCTCGGGAATGCTAGCTGCCTTTTCTGCTGTAGGGGGCACCGCTCTCCTGCCTGGGCTGCCCTGTTGTCTTCCTGGTTGCATGGCATTCCCTTCCCCGAGGAGGATGGGCTGGGAGCTGTGTCCCAGGGAATGGGAACAAGATACTAGGACCAAAATCTGTATGAATTTCATAGAATTCCGAAACTCTGTAACTTCCCCATGTGGTTTTATTTGTCCCCTGCTGAGAGTTTCTTGTCGTGACTCATGGGCTTTGTAGGCAGTGCAGAAGTAGGAGCTGGAGACTGTGCCCCCGGGTTCCAGGTTTGGACCACAGAACCTGAGGAACAGAGTGGGTAGTAGTAGTTTTAAAGAGCAAAGAGCTGAGCTGAAGTCTGCATCTGCTCCCGGGAAGGAAGAGGGCACGCGAGAGTCAGTCGTGGAGCTTGGCGGGTGGGAGAGGCTCAAGCTGATCCCCGCCCCCAGGCTAGACTCGCCCTGGGCTCTGCGCTCACCTCTGGGCAGATCACCCCGCCAGCCTCCCACCTCTGCCCCTTCTCATTCCCCTCTGGCCTGGCTTCCTCCTCAC